CACACACGCAGACACAAGCAAAAACGCACACTTACACTCAAACACACACACAAATACACAATTACTCGCTTACACACGCAAGCCCCTCCCGCCCCACACAGATCCATACACAAACACTTTCACACTCATACTTGCATATACGCAGACACACTGAATCCTCAACAGCTCAAGCCGTCTCACTCTCACATCTCAATTAATCTCCTGACTCCCCTGAAATCTCTGTCCATCTCCTTTTCGCAATTCTATTAAACCCCTGACTCCGCAACGTGTCCATCCATCTCCTTCTACTACCTCAATCATTCACTGAAAGCATACGTCTCTATCCATTTCCCTCTTGCTATTCAGTCTATAAATTATGTTTTTTATTAATACATTAACGCCTAATTCTGTGGATATTCCCTTTGTAGTTGGATGAGTGGTTGTGATATCCACAAGTATTAAATTGAAAAGTTTTCCAATCGTTGATCACAGCACTATGCTCCAAATCAATGGATAGGCTCCTTGTTCTCCACTGCTAACTAAATCTCAATCTGCAACGTCTCACAACTCAAGCCGTCTCCTCATTCCTCAAGACTGTATCCATCTTCCTCTCACACATTCGTTCATCTCCTGATACACTCACATGTCTATCCATAGCCTTCTCGCAACTGAATCCACCCCCAGACAACCCCAGTTCTCTATCCATCTCCCTCTTGCAACTTAATACATTCCCTGACTTCCAAGAATCAATCAGTCTCCCCCATGATCTTCAATCTATTAAGTAGTACCATTAATCTTAATAATGCATCATTATTCTTAATAATTATATCGTTATTCAGTATCAGTATTCTTAATAATGATATCTGGCCTCTTGAGTCTTAGCTCATTCGTTTTGTCTTTGGAGGAAACGTTGAGTTATCTAAAAAATAAATTGAAAGCTTGTTGAATTCCAGTCACCTCAATGGATTCCCCATCTCCTCAAGTCTCTATTTGTCTTCTTCTCCCACCTGACTCCATGCCATGACTCCCCTAAAATGCTATCGATCGTCTTCTTCCACTTCAATCAATCACCTGGCTCCTCCAATCCTCTAGCCATCTCCCATGTACACGTTTATCCTTCCACTGAAACACCAACATCTCACTCCAATCTCCCACTCTTACGTGAATCCATCACCTGGATCCTCGAAATCTCTATCCGTCTCCCTCTTACACTTCAATTCATACCCTGATTTCTGCAAGTCTCTATCCACCTCCATATCGCAAATGAATCAATCCCCTGGGTCCTCAACGTATATATTCAACTCCCTCTTGTACCTCAAACATCCCCCGCTAACACAGGGCTCTATCCATATTCCTCCTGTACATCAATCTATCCATTATTGGCAATAGTATCTACCTAGTTATTCTATGTTCATACAGGTTGTATTTTGGTGAATAGTTGAGATAGCTAAAAACATTTTTTAAAGATTTAACATTAGTTCAACAGTTGATAATCGCAGGATGCTCTAACAAAATGGATAAGCCTCGCTGCTCTCCCCTGCTAAGGCAGTCTCAATCGGAAACCTCTCCAAACTCAATTGATCCACTACATCCTCAATGCACTGTCCATTTCCCACTCACAACTCAATCCGTCCCCTAATTCCCCCACGTCTCTATCCATCTCCCACTCACACCTCATTCAATCTTGACTTCACCATGTCTCTATCCATCTACCTATCAAACGGTAATCGATCCTTGACTCCCAAGTCAATTCACGTGTCTCGAGCACCGCAATCCACCCGACGACTCACCGAAGTCTCAGTTATTCTCCATCTTGCAACGCAAACCATCCTCTGACTTCCTCAAATTTTTATCCATCTCCACCTTGCACTTCAGTTCGTACGCTGACTTCCACAAGCTATACTCACATACATCTCGCAAAACAATCAAACGCTTGAATCCCCTAAGCGTCTATTAATCTCCGTCTTGTATTTCAGACGCCGCATGAACACACAAGTATCTATCCATCTCACTCTTGCACATCAAACTATTATCTATTTTTATTATCTTACGTTTTGAACCTATGCTCATCCAGTTTGTTGATCGGGGAATGTTTGAGGTCGCCAAGTATGTTTTTATTGAAAAGAAATGACTCACAAACAGACATACAAAACAAACAGACACACCGCACAGACACACTCTTGCACATTCTCACACACACGAACACACACTTACACGCGCAAGCCCCCCCACCACACAGCGACATTCGCACTCACACTTACATAGTCACACACACTACTCACCAGCTCAAGCCATATCCCTCTCACAACTCAACTGATCTCCTGACTCCCCCAAATCTCGATCCATCTGCTTCTCTCAACTCAATCAAACCCCTGACTCCCCCATCTCTCTACCCGTCTCCCTATTGTAACTCAATCATTCATTGAAAATACAACTCTCTATACATCTCCCTCTCGCACCTCAGTCTGTCAATGTTTTTTATCATTAATACTATAAAATTTGATTCTGTGCTCATTCCCTTTTTTATTTAGGGGAACGGTTGAGTTAACCGACAGAATTAAATTGTCCAACCGTTGATCACAGCACGTCGCTCTAAAATAATGAATTAGGCTCTTTGTTTACCACTGCTAACTAACTTTCCGTCTTCAGCGTCTCACATCTCAAACCATCCCTTAACTCTTCAAGACTCTATCCATCTCCCTCTCACACATTCATTCATCCCCTGACATATCTTCATTTCCATCCATATCCTTCTCGCAACTCAATCTGTCCCCTGACATCCCCAAGTTTCTTTCCATCTCACTCTTACAACTTTACCCAACCTCTGACTCACCAACATCTCAATCCATTTCCCACTCATACGTCATACGCCTGATTCTCTAAATCCCTATCCATCTTCCTCTTCCAACTCAATTCATACCCTGACGTCAGCAAGTCTCTATCCACTTTCCTCTCGTAACTGAATCATTCCGGTGAGTCCGGCAAGCATCCATCCATCTCTCTAATGCACCTCAAACATCCACTGCTTACACAAGGCTCTAACCGTATTATACCTCTTTAATCTTTCAGTTACTGATATCATGAATATCTTACCAACTGAGCCTGTGCACATACTTGTTTTTGGGGCATAGATGAGATAGCAACAAAAATTAAATCGAAACGTTGTTCAATAGTTGATCATCGCAGTACGTTCTAGAAAAAATGTATTAGCCTCGCTGCTCTCCCCTGCTAAGTCAATCTCAATCGGCAAACTCTCCCAGTTCAATAAATCCCAAAAATCCACAATTCGCTGTCCATTTTCCACTCGCAACTCAATCCATCGCCTAATTCCTCCACATCTCTATCCATCTCCCTCTCACACCTCAATCAATACCCTAACTTCTGTATCCAGCGCCCTCTCACACGACAATCCATTCTCTGACTCCGAGAAATATATATTGTCCTCTCTCTAGCAACGCAATCCATCCGATGTCTCACCGAAGTATCAATTCATCTCCATCTTGCAACTTAAACCATCCACTGTCTCCATCAATTCGATATCCATCTCCCTCTTGCACTTGCATAACTCTATTTATATCAATCTCGCAAAATTGTCAATCGCCTGTCGCACTAAGCGTCTATCAATGTCCCTCTTTTATCTCAGTCGTCGCCTAACAACACAAGCCTCTATCCACCTCCCTCCTGCATAACAACTGTTAAATATTTTTATTATTCATATTTCACTTTTTATGTTTGTGCTCATCCACGATGTAGATGGGTGAATGGTGGAAATAGCTTAAAAAGCGTAAATTTTAAAGTTGTTCAAACGTTGATGAGAGCACGGGTCTCTGAAACAATGGAACAGTCTCGCGGCTCTCTACTGCTTACTCAATCTCCATATGCAAACTCTCCCACTTAAATCCAGCCCCTAATTCCTCAAGTCTCTATCCATCTCCCTCTCACACTTCAACCCATCCCTTGATTCGAGTATTTCCTATCCATCTCCCACATGCACGTCAATCCATCCATGACTCTTCATATTTGCCTATCTATCTCCGTCATAAAAATGAATCCATCCACATGACTCCTCAAATCTATATCTATCACCCCGTCACACCTATTCCATCGCAAAAGACCGTGAAATCTATATCCATCTCGCTATGGCACGTCAGTCAATCCCCTGACTCCACCAAATCTCTGGTTATCGACTTCTCGCATTTTAATGCATCCCCTGACTCCCCCAGATGTCTATTTGTTTCCTTCTCGCACATTAATCTATCCTCTAACTCAATCTGGCTCTGTCCACCACTGTGTTGCAACTTCTTCCATGCCCAAGTGTCTGTCCATCTTCCTCTTTAACCTCATTCCATTCTCTGACTCACCCTTTTCTCTATCCATATCCATATTGCACCTCAATAGATCCAGTAATTGAAAATCTATATCCATAATAATCTCACACTTTACTCCATCGCCTGACTGCACAACATTAAATCCACCTGCCCTCAATCAATCCGCTGACTCCTTACACCTCAAGCAATCCGCTGCCTCGCCCTCATGACTATCTATATCCCATTCGCAAGTTTATCCATCCCCTGATCCCTCAAATCTCTATCCATTGGTTTGTCGCAACTCAAACGATTTCCCGTATCCCCAAGTCTCTATCCATCTGCATCTTACACCTCCATTCATCCTCCGACACACTCACGTCTCTATCCATCTCCTTCTTGCACTTCAATCCATATCCTGAATTCTGCAAGTTTCTATCCATAACCATCATTAAAAATCACCTAACGCCATCCATCTTCCTCTTGTACCTCAATGCATTGTGTGACTGCAAAAATCTCCAGGAGTTCCCTTTTGCAACTGAATCTATTAATTATTGCCCTCATTAATATTTTACATATTGAGTCCGTACTCATATATTTGCAGGTGGGGGAATGCTTGCGATATCTAAAAAAAGTAAATTGAAATGTTGTAGAATCGTTATTCATAACAAGATGATCGAAAACTATGGATGATCTCCACTGCTAACTCAATCTGAGTCTGCAGTCTCCCCCACCTCAATGGATCCCCTAACACTTCAATTCTCTATCCATCATCCTCTCACACCACAGTCTATCACCTGATCCCCCACATATCTATCCTTATCCCTGTCACCTCATCCATCTACTGACTTCCGCAAATCTTTGTCCATCTCCATCTCACATGCCATGCCATCCCTTGACTTCCAAGAGTTTCTGTTTAACACTCCTTAACAGCTCAATACATTCAATGCTCTCCGAAGTCTCAATCTATCTACCTCTTGACCATGAATCCACCCCCTGTCCCTCAAGTCTCTATCCATTTCCCTCTTGCACTTCAATCCACACACTGATTTCCACTATTCTCTGTCCACCTACATCTAGAAACTCAATCATTCCGCTGACAAATCGAAATCTCCATCCATCTGCGTCGTGCAACTCAATTCGTTAAATAATGTTGTTCTTAATATCTTACCACTTGTGCCATTGCTCATCTCCTTTGAAGTTGGGAGTATGGTTGAGATAGCTAAAAAAAACAAAAATGCATATTTGTTCAATTCTCAATGATAGAAGGTGCTCTAAAACAATGGATCAGACTCCCTGCTCTCCACTGATTTCTCAATCTCAATCGGCAATCTCTCCCACCTCAATCGATCCCAAACTCGGCAAGTCTCTCTCCATCTCCCTCTCACACCTCAATGGATCCGCTAATTACCACGCATCTCTATCCAACTCCATCTCACCACTCAATCAATCTTCTGACATCCCCTCTTAATTATCGATCTCCCTCTAACACCACAGTCTCTCTTCTCACGCCCAAGTCTGCCTTTTAAGCTCTACCTACCACCACAATCAATCACATGGCTCCCGGAATTATCAATCCATCTCCCACTTGCACACCAATCCATCCACTGTCACCATCTGCCAGCCACTTGTACGTCAGTGCATTCCCCGATTCCCCAAATTGGTTATTCATTTCAGTCTTACACTTCAATCTATCCAATGACTCCTGAAATCATCTCCATCTCACACGTCAATCTATCACCTGACTCAACAAGTCAATTTTCATTTTCCTATTACATTTCCATCCATCTTCTCACTCCCCGAAATCTCTATCCAACTGATTATTGCAAGTCTATACTTCCCTCAATTCCCGAATCTGTATCCATCTACAGATTTCATAACTTAATCTGTCACCTCATTCTAGAAAGCCTCTAGGTGCCACTTCCTCACACTCATTCCATTGCTTGGCTCCCCCAAGCCTTTATCCAACTCCGCCTGCAGCTCAATCCATCCCGACACCACAAAGTATTTCTCTTCACCTGACACCTCAATAGTTGCCCTGACTGCCTAAGTCTCAATCCGTCTAACTCTGCACCACAGTAAGTCCCCTGACTCCCAGATGTTTCCAGCCATCTCTCACACCACAATCCTTGGGACAGCTTATATTCACTTCCCTCCAGCACCGCAATCCATCCTTTGACTTGCCGAAGTCTTATTCCATTACCCTCTTGCACTTCAATCCATCCGCTGACTCCGGTAATTCTATATCTGTCTCCCTCTTGCCCTTGAATCCATATCCAACTTCCGCAAATCTCTATCCACTTCCATCTCGAAACACAATCAATCCCCTGAATCCAGAAAGTAATTCCGCTGTCTCACCCAAATCTCTATCCATCTCATTCGTGCACCGCAATCTATTAGTTAGTGTTATTGTTAATCGGTTACCTCTTGTTCCTTTGCTCGTCTCCTTTGAAGTTGAGTGTATGGTTGGCATAGCTAAAAAAAGAAAAATTGCACAGTGTTCAATTGTTAATGATTGCCGATGCTCCAAAAAGATGGAGCCTCTCTGCTCTCCACTGATAACTCAATCTCAATCTGCAAGCTCTCCAATCTCAAACGATCCCCAAACTCCTAAACTCTATCCAGCTCCCTCTCACATCTCAATCGATCCCCTAATTTCCCGCAATCTCTATCCATCTCCATCTCGAAACAAAATTAATCCACTGAATCCTCTTAACAACTATCAATCTCCCTCTTTTACTTCAGACACCAGTTGAATGATCAAGTCTGCATCCGTCTCCGTCTTGCTCATCAATCCATTAGAACATTGTATTACCAATCTCTTATCTTTTGCGTCTGTGGTTATCCGTATTGTAGATGGGGAAATGGTTGAGGGAGCTAAAAAATTAAATTGAAAAGAAGTTCAGTCGTAGATAATAGCACAATGATCTGAAACAATGCATCAGCCAGCTGCTTTCCACAGCTTACTCAATCCCCATTTGCAACCTCATCCACTTCAATCTCGTTGGTAACTCTTCAAGTCTCTATCCATTTCCCAGTGGCACATCAATTCACCCACTGGTTCCCGCACATTTCTGTCCATCTCTCTCTCACAGCCCAATCCATCCCTGAATCCAAAAAATTCTCTATCCATCTCCATCTTTCGCCTCAATCCATCCCTAAATTCCCATGTTTATATCCATCTCTGTCTCACATCTTAGTACACCCACTGACTCTGAAAAGTCTCTACCCATTTCACTTTCACACATTCATCCATTCCCTCTCTCCCAAATATCTCATCCCATCTCCTGCTCACACCTTAATCAATCAACTGAGTCACCCAAAAGAACATCCACCTAACTCTTAAACTTCACGACTTTCCCATGAACCTGCAAGACTCTATCCATCTCCCTCTCGCAGTTTATCGAAAATCCTCTGACTGGACATGGCTGTCCACCTCCCATTTACACTTCCATCTATCGCATGATTACACATGTCTTCATTTGCATTTGTTCATCACTTAAGTACTCAAATTCTTTATCTATCTTCCTCTTCGGTTAGACGGACAGATAGAGAGAGAGAGACGGACAGGCAGATGAGCAGTAGGAAGGACTGATGTGGAGATAGGTACTTACGAACAGGATGAGGCCATTTAGCCCATGGAGCCTGTTCCGCTATTCTATAAGTTTATGTCTAAACTGTACGTAAACTAGAATTACCCATTCTTGCTCCTTTTCCTTTAATAATCTGAGCTAATAAACATCTATGCGCCTCCGTCTCGACAATGTAAATGGTTCCAGCCACAACAGACAGCATTTTGCGGTTGAGAGAGTGTTGCAGATATCCATTGCCCTTTATTTCAGTGGCAAAATGGCTGCAAGTTTCACCCGTAAATGACTCTGCGTTAATTTTAAGATAATGTCCCGTGTCCTGGATTCCCCCACATAGTAAAAAGCTTATAAGTAGCTACGTTATCGAACACTTTATAATTTAAAAAAAACTTAATGCTGAAGAGAGAGAGATACAGACAGAAAGGGAGAAAGACCTAGAGACAAGTTGGAGAGAAGACAGATGGAGAAACAGATAGAGAGTGGGAAGAGAGAAAGGAGAAAAAGAAAATGATGGCAGGTGAACAGTTGAGTGTGATCACACTTACCTGATCGAACCGTCACGTAAATTTCCTGGAAGGAATGGGTGAGACCTTTTATCTTGAAAGTATAACGATATGATCCAGAATCTTTGAGTTCAAGTTTGCTGATGTTTAAGCTTCTAAAATCCAGAGAGTGACGACTGTCAGCGAAAATCAGATTGCCATCATGTGTCCACTGTACCTCAATTTCATCCGAACTAATTGTGCCGTCTCCATGAAATGTGGGTTTGGTGTTAAAATAACCAGGGTGTGAGATTTGACATGTGAGAGCCAGCCGTCCACCTGCGGTCAGAGAGATCTCAGTAGACACAGACACTGCAGAGAGGCAGGAGAAAGAGTGGGGACAAACAGTTACTACTATTAACTGAAACATATTCCAACATGATTTACAGCAGGAACAGTCACCGTTTCTATCTGTATCTGGTCTGCCCAATTCACTGCACCATATGTGCCCTTCAGCGAGCGACAAAGAGACAAAGAGAAGGAAAAGGAGAGAGAGATAGAAAGAGAGAGCGAGAGATTGAGAGAGAGCAAGAGCGGGAGAGAATGCGAGAAAGAAGGAAAGAAAGAAAGATATGAAAAAAAGAAAGAAAGTAAGGAAGATAGATAGAGACACTGAGAAGGAGATGTAATGCGAGAGAGAATGGCTGAGAGAAAAGATTGAGACTGAGAATGAGAGAGCGAAATACACATGTCGAGAGATCAGTCAGGTCTGTGCAGTAACTTACGGTGAAACACTATCAGATGGACGATGCATGTATACGCAATTTTTTCTTCTTTTTTTATAAACAATGCACTGTTACTCGCCAGCCAGACTCATTGTGGGTGTGAGTAACAGGGAGAGATCCCCTGACTGGAAAGCGTTGGAATCAGCCACTGATATGTCCTTATCATGAGTGTCGTCACACGCAGAGCTGTCTTCAGTTATCTCACACAAGTTTAGTTCTTCCTTCCCTGAGATGGAGTACCAATACCATTTAGCGGATTTGTTTTCCCTCCCAGCGTCAGGTGAGCAAGGCAGTAAGGCAGAGCTGAAGCCGTTAGACACCACATAACTCTCGCTCTCATCACTTCTCATAGAGACTGCACAGGAGATAAACGTGAGAGAGACTGAGAAACATTCCTCACCGAATAAACAGCACACAGCGCAAACTCAGCCCCTCGTGATCATTAGCACATTACACATTGTTTAATAATAATCATTGTTCGCATATTAACTGCAGCGATTTATTGCGTATTCGAGGCGTCACAAAGCACTTTACAGAATCTACTGTGGGTCGAATTAACTGTATGTTTTACTTCCGAAACATGGCAACAAATTACACACAACATTTTCCCAAGGAAAGTGACGGATTGTGTAACTGGTTCATTATGTATATGTAAAGCAATTCTTAACTACGGAAAATAGATACGCCCATCAATTAACAACTGTGTTCCTACTGATTGGGAGGTAAACGCTGGTGCGTATAGTAAGGAAAGTTGCCCCACATTTAGCCCTTCCAGGTATTGAACCCAGAAATCTCACTTGTGAGGCGAGTGCTCAAAAAGCTGAGCAACAGGTCTCCACATAGTGTTGTGATAAGCAGCACATCACAGAGAGGGAAGGAGCGTGAGAGGAAGGAGCAACACAAAAGTTAGGGATAGAGTGAGGGAGATAAATGAGGGAGATTTAGGGATCGAGAGGGAGTGGAAGAGAAAGAGAGGGAGAGGGAGATGAAAAGGGAAAGAAGTGAACCAATGTGAGACGGGAAAAGAGGCATCGATGCAGGAAATAGTGAAGAGGTAAAACAAGGGGAGTTGAAGGGAAGGAAGAGCGAGGAAAGCGTGAGGGAGAAAAAGAGGCGAGAGACACATAGAGGGAGAGTGACAGAGAAGGAGAGATAAATAAAGATGACGGAGAAGGAAAGAGAGCTTCCCCTTCTACAGACCTTCGATCACCCTCCAGCCCTCACTGCCCTCCACCCCTCATGATCCCGTTCTGCAGCTCGGGTACAAACCGCTCACTGTTGAACAATAACAACTTGCATTTACATTGCTCCCCTCACTCAGGGCAACGTCCCAGAGCAGGTAACAGCTTGAAATGTTCTCCCAAAGTGAAAGTCACTGTGTAAATTCAGTCGGTGGTTGTGGCTGGTGGCTGTTTGTGGGAGACAGGAGTCAGTCCTCTGATATCCTATGTAACAGTAAGTGCCATGGTTGGTCTGATCAGCAGCCTGATGGTGAGACACCATAATAATAATAATAATAATAATAATAATACATGCATTTGATATAGCGCTTTTCACGTCGGGAGGACGTCCCAAAGCGCTTCACAGAATATACTGTGAAGTGAATTGACTCTATATTTGTGGGCGAACGCGGCAGCCAATTGCGCACAGCAATGTCCCACAAACAGTCGTTGATTGAAAATGACCAATTTATTATGGTTTTTGGTTTTGGAAGGATTATCATTAGGCTCTGTGTGGAGTAAGGAAACTTGCCCAAGGTTTGGCCCTCTGCCTGGAATTGAACTCAGGTCTCTCCATTGCAAAGCGAGTGCTCTAACCACTGAGCGAGTGCCCTCCTCTCCTCTCTCCTCTTCTCACTCAAAGCCAAATCAGCAAGTACAAAGGAGACTGCAATCATCATAGCTGATGCTAACTTTCGCACAGAGACTTTCACGACTCAAAGTGGTTCAGAAGGTCCACAGTGAAGTTTGTTGACTGCGTTTTATGGCGCAACGCGGCAGATAATTGCATAGAGCGACATTCCCGCAAACAGCCGTGAAATGAACTGCGATTGAAACCTTTCAGCCAGGACACCGAGAAAGAAGGAGAGATAGGAGATAGAGAGAGAGAGAGAGAGAGAGAGAGAGAGAGAGAGACAGAGAGAGAGGGAGAGAGAAAGAAAGTACCTTCTCTTTACCTGACACAACATACAGCACAAGTTAGTCCATGGGGTGAAAGGCAGAGATAGGAGAGCTCAGGAGTGTGGACACGTACCTGAAGTCAGGAGACAGAGAGGCAGGAACATCCAGCAGAATGATATGACGGAGTGACTGAGCTCAGCTCTGGGCACGACACGGCCTCTGTCCATCCCAAATCCTGACCCACGCTATTACTGTATCTCTCAGCCACATAGACAGGGGGCACTCCCCAAGCCAGAGAGTGTCACTGAGAGAGAGAGAGAGAGAGAGCGACAGAGAGAGACAGGGAGAGTCAGCGAGAGAGACTGAGAGACAGCGAGAGAGGTAGTCAACGAGATAGATGGAGAGACAGAACCAGAGCCGAGCACTGGTCAACACCGCTCACACCACAAAATACCACGAACATCTCAGTGCTGTGACCTGAACACATTCAGTGACAAAGGCGGGACATGAAAAAAAAACATTTCATAATGATGCATCTGTCACTTTCCTGTTGCAAAATGACCTGCTGTTTTTCTCATCATTCACATGTTGTGTCCTTGAGTCTCTATCGAACTCCCGCTCACAGCTCAATCCGTTTTCTCACTCCCCGCGTCTCTGTCCGTATCTCTCTCGCACTTGAATCCAACCCCTTGTGCCTCAGGACAAAACACTCAAATGACAGGCAAAGAACGCGAAAGGGCAGCAAATGAATCCTGAAGGGGAAAAAACAGCAGAAACAGCAGCCAATTATGCAACAGGAAAGTTGCAAAAAACACGTTGTGAAATGGTGTATTTTATGTTTTCTGATTGGTCACACAGACGTGTTATAAACCTTGCATTTGATATGGGGCTTTTCACGTCGGGAGGACGTCCCAACGCACTTCACAGAATACACTGTAAAGTGATTTGACTGTATGTTTGTGGGCGAACGCGGCAGCCAATTGCGCACAGCAATGTCCCACAAACAGTCGTAGATTGAAAATGTTGTTTTTTTGGGGGGGTTTTGGAGGGATTATTATTAGGCTCTGTGTGGAGTAAGGAAACGTACCCAAGGTTTCGCCCTGACCTGCCGGGGATTGAACTCAGTCTCTCGCTTCAGGCCACAACCCGGAGAATCTTCTCATTTCCTGGTCTGAGCGATTTTAGTCAGTGCTGTGCACTCTATCGCGCTCTCTCTTTCCATATTTATCGTTGTATCTTCCTGTCTCTCTGTGCCTTTCGCTGAATCTCTCTCTCTGTATCTCTTTGTCCCCCTTCTGTTTCTCTCTATCTCCTTCTCTCTCTCTCTGTGCCTCTCTATTTGTCTTCCTCAGTGCGTCTCTGTCTCGATCTCTCTCGGTATGTCTGTCTCCGTTTGTCTCTCTCTGTTGGTCTGCAGGGGTGGGAGTGTGGGATTGGTGGGGGGAAACGCCTTGTATCAGGCACATGGGTTATTCTTAATAATTATTATCTCCTGACTTATATATGTGTGTGTGTAGTGTTACAGTTTTTAAATTATTGCAGGTATTACCATTAGACTCATGTCGTACTATAACTATGTAACTATATTGTTAAATTTGGACACTATATTATTATCATTACAGTGTTTGAACTAATGCAAATATTCTCACCTTTCTTATCGCTTCACTCTCGCTCTACTTTATTAAATTTTATAAATGAATACATATATGTATTAAGATTTCAGAGATTTTATATAAAACAGATATAAAATAAAATATAATTACACGATATAATACGTTATAAACTGTTATAAGTTATTCAACTTGATAATATCAATACATTAAAACAGTTTGCTATATTTTACAATATATTTGTAAATATTTTTTAAAAATAATTATATTATTCCGTAATGTTTTTCATATAATTATTTAATATTGTAATAGTATTTTTATTTATTACTGTCTGTAGCCTTTGTGGCTACGCTTGCAACCAAAGGATATGATATGGAATGTAGAATGGCACACAGACAGACGTACAGACAGACTTTCATTCTTAATGATATTCATCTGGAAGGACACCTGTGGGAGGACTCATTGGGTGGACTCTGCGTTAAAAATATAATTGTGTTGCTGTTGCTGGGGCTTAGCTTTTCTACATTGGTTATGTTGGCTACGGACTTGCGCACGATGACAGAGCGCCAATTTGGCTCTGAGCAGTTGGAAGAAAAGCGAAAATGCAAACAAATCATGAACGACAGGAGATACCGAAAAAGAAATATCTCATTCTACTCCCACATTCAAGCCATTGAAGGTGAGGTATAAATCCCGTCTCGCCTCCGTCTGTGACACAGTGGACCACTCAATCCTCCTCCACCGCCTCTCCTCTCACCTCAAACTTCAATGCGCCATGTCTGTTTGTGGGAAATTGCTGTGCGCAATTGCCTGCCGTGTTCGCCCACAAATATACAGTCAATTCACTTAACAGTGTATTCTGTGAAGCGCTTTGGGTCGCCTTCCCGAACTGAGAAGCGCTAAATCAAATGCATGGATTATTATTATTATAATCATTATTATTATTGTAGCGTTCTTCACGTCTTCCATTCATCTCAAAGCGCTTCACAGGATATTCTATAAAGTGAATATATGGGCAGTAGGCGGCAGACAATCGCGTACAGTAATATCCCACAAACCCTCCTCGATTGAATTATCCATTTTTATGATTTTTCATTGGTTGCGACATTATTATCAGGTGTGTGTTTGATTAAGCATCTTGCCCAAAGTTTCGCCATGCTGGGAACCGAACCCAGGTCTGTCGCTTGCAAGTCGAAAGCTCTAACCACAGATCTACAGGACTCCAGAAATAACAGAATTCCTAGTGCAAAATAATGCAATATGTGATGGAACAAACGCAACTTTTGACATTCTGTTTGTTTTTGGATATTGACTAACTTTTATCGAGAATAATTGACTGGTGTTAAAACTCATCTCCACTGTCATCCTACAATATTGTGATAAATGAAATTAAAGGCAATCGATGCTCAGCAAACACCGTGTACTGATTGCGACGATTTTCATGTAGTTTGGTGTTACGAAATACAACTAATTGCATCTTGTGTAACAGACATTCACTTCAGACACATGATTACCCACAAATAAGCTTTATGTATAACAAGAGGACATTTAAAACATTGATGTCAGTGGCAGGATTGTCTCAGCGACAAATGACAATCAGTTGGTTTCCCATCGATCACCATTGGTTGAGCACAAATTTGTGAAAGGAGAAGTGCATGTAATGCACGATAACAGCGCTTTTTTAACGTTAACTAAGATTA